TACATACTGCCTCTCCTCTATTCCTGCTGTGCTGTGTCATTGTAACGTAATTTCACTCTGATGCAAATCCAAATGACAAACAAAGTCTGTCTAAGTTTAAGTAAGTCTATCATTATTATTAATAGAAATATTTTTTTGACATGATTAATAAGCTCAAAACAGTTTGGCTTCGTGATCGTAAATGTTGATTTATGAGTATAAAATGGACTCCAAATACCAAAGAAGTAGACAGAGAGCAAGAATATACATATAATATAATATATAATATACATATTATACATTATATTCGGTGGATCCGGATAAGTGAGGCTTCAGTTTACTCGTTTGTATTTACCTGCACTGCTCACCTCCGCCTCTAGAGGGCGCTGTTGTACAGGTTCTGATAGCGGAAGCTGTTGCGGCTCCAGCCAATCAGATCGCAGGAAAGGGAGGCGCAGGTTTCCGGCCTAATGAACGACAACACAAGTGTGAAAGACGAAGAGGAGAAGAGCTAAACACTGAACGGGTCAGCTCCACATTATCCAACCACAACCTGCCGTAAGTTTCTCTCTTGCTGCCGTTGATTGCACTTCGTGAAGATAAGCGAAGCCCACTGAAAAACGTTACTGTAGGTGTTACAGCTGAGGGTCAACCAGGGGGTCGTTGTTGGTTGCTAAAGCTAACTGCTGTCCGGTACTGTTTAATAACCGGAGCTGCCCGGCTACGGAGGAGCCTCAGCTGAGAAAAGCTATTAACAAAATCGCTGCCCTAAAGCTTTGTGGCGTTGTTGGTTCACCGACGGTAGCGTTAAATCAGAGCACCATAACTAACAGTAGCTGTTTTAAATGTAAGGTTGGCTGTGTGAGCATTTATTATTGTTGATAAGTTAAACGTGAGCTCATCAGACCTTTTAGGGTTTGTTTTTAATTGTTATTGTTTCATTTTTCGATTGTATAGCTTCTAAAGTCAAAAATGCTGCGTGCTGGTAACTATTTTATTTGTTGTTTTTTGTTGACATTTTGACCTTTTTTATAGCGATATCGGATCTCTCTCTTGCCATAAATATCTTGATATCAGTGACATTAAATAAAACATAACAGTTACTTTACAAATCGCTGCGCCATCTCTAATGTCAGCCGAATAATAACCACGATACAGTTAAAACTGAACACATTTAACAAATTCAGCCGCACATTTCACTGCATTTCACTTGAGATATTACTAAGTTAATAAATGGTTACACAGCTTATCAGAATTATCCTGTGCCACTCAGCTGATCACTTCTAAACTATTAGTTTTATGTTATCAGTGGGTCAAATAATGATCCTCCTGCTTGTTTCTCTCAACAGATGCTCTAACTAATCACTAATTTATATCTCAAGAGTTGGCAGTCGTACTGGCATGGCATCTGTTTGCTGAACTGCTCCATCTTGTCTGCTAGCACCAAACACTGGTGTGCAACTTCCCCGTGAATGAGACTGACCCACGCCACCATGGAAACAGAAACAGTAAGTTTGCCTCCTAGATGTTGATGTCCGAACGATGTCATTACTTAACACTGTTTAACTTAACGCTGCCTTTTTTTTTCCCCCACGTGATTTCTGCTGGAATTTAAAGTGTAGACTTAGACGCTTTAAACGTACTGTAGCTTGTGTAGAGACAGTGTTTTTTAATATAATCTTGCAGGAAGTTATTCCTATCTGGCAGAATAAGCCTCATGGATCCACCCGCAGTGTTGTGAGAAGAATAGGGTCCACTCTTCCGCTCAAACCTCCACAAAGGGCATGTTTCCAGGTAAATATCAGATCCCATAAGTCATTGTATTTCCATATTCCCTGCGATATAAATGCTTGTTTATGTAACATTAACTTGTGTCCTTGTGCATTAGGAACTGCCCGGCCTGCCCGCTCTTCGGCCTATGGACGGCCCCATGGTTCCTACCTTGGCAGACATAGCATGGATTGTTGCAGATGAAGAAGAGACATATGCCAGAGTGCGGTGAGTATCCAGGAACAGCCCTAAGAGTCAACCACTAAGGTTATTATCACAGGCCCTCTGAGCTTCCAACTTATCAGGTGCACAGCCTAAAGAAATGCAGCACAAGGTTATAATGTCCTGGTTTTGTTCATACGGTGTCAGAGAGGCGCTGATTCAGCTCTGTGCTGTTTTCTGCAGCTGTAGTTGGTGGTGAAAACTAAACATTATAAACTCAATAAATATAGGCTTTACCAGCAGTTTATTACATGACAGCCAAATCTAATAGCACTGCAATAAAGTATAAAGTATTTTCTGAGGAGTGGGTAGAGAGAAAGATCAGGTGACCTGACCCTCCGAGGTTTAATATAATAAAGGTTACTGTTCAGCTGATCATCCTCTCTTCTATTTTCAGGAGCGACAGTCGCCCTCTGAAACACGAATGGCGGCCCACGCCTCTCCTGGTGCTCCACAGGAACTCATCTGTGCCCAACTTCCGCCGCGAGGGTAAAAGGATGGAGGGGCTCAAGAAGCCCGGGGTGACGGCGCTGAACCGCACTACCGCCCTGCAGGACGAGCTCAGCAGACTTCGTGCACAGATCGCCAAGATTGTGGCGAGTGATTCTGGTAGGTAACCAAAGCAAGAATCGCAGCGTTAACAATGTAAACAATGTCAACTGTAGATTTGAATAGTGATTAAAACACGGGGCAAACATCAGATGTGAACCTGTAACACATTTAACTTGACACTCTCCTTATTGACACTGATAAGCTGCTTGGTGTAGCTTTAAAATTGCTTTACTGAGCCAATGTTTCACCACGGAGCTACTGTCTTCATGTGACTGTGATGCTTTTTTTTTTTACCAAGTCAGCTGTCCTGATTCTCCTAAAGCTCTTTGGTACTTAGATGTCTTGGCATCAGTTTCTGGGTCAGAGACTAAACATAATCTCTGCGGTTCCGTGCCGGTTGGGTGTCACTCGTTGAAAAGTTCAACAAGGATGTCATGAGAAAGTATCACGTATTCACATGTATTGTATTCCCACCGTCTTTAAAGAGGCACAAAGGGAATTTCAGTATTGTAACACCTTAAATTCTGTAAAGTTTGTGCCATGAGATGGTCTGTAAACAGGGGAAGGACCTCATAGACCAGACCTTCATGCTAAGTAAAGCACGTGTTATGTGTTCTCTATGCAACGATACATTAATGATACATTGTGAGGATGGAAATGTGATCCTAGAATAACTTGGGCTATTACGAGTGGCATACTAATGGTTGTCTCCACTTACGGTATGATGGTGCTTTCGAGTACAGCTACTGAATACAACCATAGCATACTTATATGGAAGCTTCAAATTCACGATAGAAATGACGGATACAAATAGAAATACTATTCGGACTCACCCTGACGAGCTCTGTCTTTTCCTCTCAACACCAACTCAAACTTCCCCTTCTTCCGTTCAGGCTCCAACCCCCTGACCCCTGACCTGCTCTCCCCTGACGACACAAGTATGAGCTTCTCCATGGCGCCTTTCGAGACGGTGCCCTACCAGCCGGCCGCCACAGCTGCCGCTTCCTTTGTCATCAGCGACGTCACGGAGGAAGAAGAGGAGGAGGAGGAGGAGGAGGAAGAGGACGATGAGAAAGATGTGGTCTCTGTGGTGTCAGAGCTTGTCCCTGACCCTCTGCCGCCTGTTTCCATGACGGCATCTGCGACCTTTGACCTGGACAGACCCAGCATGGACTTCCGCGAGGCAGAGGAGGATACGGTGTCGTTATCAAAGTCCACCAGCTTTGCTGACGTCATGGACATCCTGAAGGACATGAACCGCATGAAGATGAGCAAAGACAGGTAAGAGTTGTCGGAGGGGGCCGGACACTACAAAGCTCATTTTGAGTTTGCTGAGTTTGTTTGTTTGTTTGTTTTAGAGGAATACTTTTAAAAATCCAACTACCACCTCTACAGCTCATTAATAAACTCACTGTTAACCTGTTTCCTGGAGTCTTGTCGTCAGCGTGGGCAGGAACTCCAGGAAGTCACCGTGTCTGGCCAAGAAGCGGTCCAACACAGAACCCCGTGTAAACTTGTTAATTAGCCAGTTTGACAGGGACCAGTAGGTGAATCTTTTTAACATTTGGACAGAGCCAGGCGAGCTGTTTCCAACTGTTTCCAGTATGGTAAGCTAAGCTAACCATCTGCTGGCTACAGTGTCATATTTACCATACAGACGTAAGAGTTGTATCTTCTCATCTAACTTTTGGCAAGAAAGGAATTAAGCACATTTCCCAATAGGCCAAATTGCTCCTTTTAAAGACAATTCCTAATTAATATGCTAACATTTCTATATGAACTTTTCCTCGCATACATAATTTGATTATTGTAGTATTTCAAGCAACCTGAACAATGGTGACATTATTTGTTTTGTATTTCTTCATGCAGGTACAACAGAGGCTGTACGTCCCTCAGAGAGGAGGACTCAGCCTCTCTGATTTCAGAAGCTCTGAGGAAAAAGTTTGTCCTGAAGGAAGAAGACACTGCTGCTATGAAACGGAAGTAGCCTCGTCACGTGTTTATCATCAATACCCAATCCTGCTGCTCCATGTAAGTCAGGACAGGGTAGTAGAAAGTAGTTTTTTTTTTTAAATATTTTGTATAATGAACCTTTTGAAGGCATGTGGGAGGTTATCATTGGTAATGTATTCAGTGGCAGATTATTTTAGGTCACTTGTGGATTCTTAGTTGTTGTTGTTTTTTCTCTCCCTCATTATTTTTAGGCCTTTGCCTGTGGAATATGTACCCATGGATCCACAACCTTGCTCCTCAGACCCGAGGCAATAGCTGTCTGCCAGAGTTAGAACAAAAAAAAAAAAAACACTTTGTCCCAGACATCTAAAACCAAATGTGAACTTCACAGCGCTGGTGCAGTGCGAGGAGGAACAGCCAAGTATCCATAACTATAATCAGTTTCTGCACTGCATCGCATACTGCAAACAGTTTATTTAGTCTAAAATGGCTTTTATGTTTAAATTTATTTTGAATGAGGACTCAGCAGACTGGTTCCATTGCTGTTCAGAAACTTGCTCTCTGTGCAGGATGTTTTAGATGCATATCTTGATTATGTTATAGCACATTGTGGAGCGACTGACACCCAAACAATACGTTTTTTTGGACTTAAATTGAGGAATGTTCCTTTTAAAAAAAGCCTTTTATCCATACTGCTAGCAAGTCCTTTTCTGCTTTTGAAGTTTCCACAGAACAGATGCAAATACAAATTTTATTTTTTATTTGTTTTTGCAGTTATGTAAAGAAGTCTTCTAACATACTTGAAAAGATTTTATGTACAAATGAAACAGATCTAGTGTACATGCAGAGACGTACTGTAGCTTATTACAGTGTGTATGGGGGAAAATAACGTTGCTGTTTAATATTTGCATTACAGTACTGAGTTTGTATGTCGCTTGCTCCACTGCACCTCTTATGCCTGTCCTCCTGTTTGTGATTAACATATAGATTGATAGTCACTGAACCAAAGGACACTGAATTCAAAACCCAAACTGAAAGGTATGCAAGACTATGCTGACGATATAGTTTGAAGTTTGAGGTGTATAAATCAAAAGAATACTTTATGAAGTGTGTGAGTTTGTATTTCCAGTAAAAGCAACAGATACAAGCCTGTAGAGATCTTTTTTGACACACATTTCCTGGTATGTAGAATGTGCTGGTGGGTAGGTGAAACCACATTTATGATGTTTCTCAACGACATTAAAGAGGCGATTTAAGTTTGGGCTGAGATAACTGAGCTTTGTCAAGAGTTTGGGTAAAATGCTTGCGTGAGTCATGTTGATAACAATCAATATCCTTGTTGACGCCTTACCACAGATGTTTTTGCCTGTTTCCAATGCCTGATTTTTATTCCCACACTGGTTCAAGTGCCATGGGTTTGTTTTAACCAACCCCACCCCTCATTGCCTGCCCTTTCCCGAATGTGCCCTCCATCCTCATCTTTACGAAGCTTCCCATGTTTTCATCTCACAAAACTTACACACATATATATATATATATATATATATAGTGAACGGTGATGTTAAGGACCAGTTGTGTGTGTGTGTGCACTGCACTGCACTGCATTGTGTATTGCTGGATGTTTGTTAAAAATAACCCCTCAAAAGAGAAGACTTGCTGTTATGTCCGCACACGTCACTCCCACTCATTTTTTTATCATCTCTCACATTTATGCCTGCGGGACTGGGAATCCTTTAGTGTAGTTTTGCAGTGTGAAAAGTTGATGCTAAGTTATCTGTTTGGATTGAACAAGAATGTGCTCATCTGTGTGTCGCTGTATGCAGTGGAGTTAAAAAGTGTGTTTTCTAGAATTGGCCATCACCTTGTCTTTCGGTGATTTTTCTCAATTTTTTGGTCAATCGAGTACAAATTGATTAGCTGAGAAAACAACTATATGCAAATTTAAATATATATACGTATTCACTGTATGTCTGTACTTGAGATGTTGAACCTTATAAAGCATACTCTGCCAACTGCATCACCAGTCCTGACAATAAGATGAGAGGAGAATTTAGTTGATGAGGATTTTCCACTTTGTATTTTTTTCTCTAGTTTCAGGGTTACTCACCATTGCACCTTCGTGTAGGATTGAGCCCACCACCACCAAACCATTTGTGTGTTTGTTTTTTGTTATGCGAGGACTTGTAAATAAAGATTGGCCGATGTTTTGAAACTGTCTTTGTTTTTGTCTGTGGGAACAGTTTATTTATTTTTGGCCTCACCGTGCACTGCCAATCACCACCACACGGGGGCAGTGCAGGCAAACAAAATTAATGATTTGATTCATTTTGTTTATGCTGTATGGAGGATTGAGCCACTTCATTTTCACCCTAAAACACTGAAATGTATCACAAGTTTAACACAAATTACTATACAGATATCCTTGACATAAAACAGTTTGGGAACCTCTGATTTAATCTATTAGAATATGTAATCATTTATAAATCGAGCATATATTTTACCTGTAAAATCCTTACCTGCAAAGTAACAGAAAGCTAAAAAAGAAATATGATATACTATAAATGTAGTGGGCGAGAAGAAGTAGCATAAAATGGAAATACATTCAACAACACAACACTACATTCCACCACTGACACAAACACTCAACATTTGACCATTTAGGCCGAATATATGTTTGGATATAAAGTTTATGTGCCTGGAATCATCAAATCATCAAATCCCACTTTTTCAACTGTATAAAACCTGACAAACTGTCATAACAGGATGTAGTACCTCCTCACTTCATCACACCACGGGGGGCCTGTACTCGAACGCCTGTAATTTCGAGGATTATTGTTAACCCACATTCTTTCCCATTTCCTGTTCTTTCCCAAGATGATCCGGCCCCTCAGTGAGTCATAGTCTATTTTCTGTGAGAGTCCTTGGCCTACTTTGTCCCTCTTCACCTCCACGATGGACTTCCTACCTATTTTAGATACAGGGAGATGTCTGTGGAGAGCTCAATTAATAGGGCTCAGTGTCAAAATTAGGCTTTGTTGAACCTATAAATACAGGCCTTTAGTTCAAAGTGACATTGACACATTTTCATCACTACGAGACTCGTGAAAAGAATTTCAAAACGGGTTAATACACATTTGAATGGGCAGTTGGAGGTTCCCTGGAGCTGCTGAAAGGCTTCTTACAACAAGGTGACGATTGCTGTTCTGTGAAATATGAGTAATATTTAAAGTAAAATGAAGTGAATGTGATGTGCATGGGTGTGAGTCAGACTGGAGTCATAGTGAGAGTTTAGAATCGAAACAGCTGAAAATTAGACGATATATTGTTTATTGTAGTAGTTTTGCATGTAAGCATGCTATCATTTGCACACAAGTACAGCTGAGGCAGATGGGAATAATAATTATTCAGTTATATAGTAATAAACCTAAGTATTAGATCAAATGAATAGTTGGTCTTGTGATGTTAGCTGATAACTTAACATCATCAATAAAGTTATTATGGAGTGAATGCAGGGGAGTGACCGTCCCCTGCCGAGATGAACGTACACAGTCCTCCTTCTTATTGGCTGAGACAGTGACGTTCAAAAGTTCAAAGATGAACCCGTGTGCCCCTTCAGTGCATCATGATGGCGACATGAATGTCTGAACCAAATTCCATGGCAATCCATCCAATATTTGTTGAGACATTTCACTCAAAGCCAAAAATGTGATCTTCATGATGACGGTTAGAGGAAATGCCAGTGGATCACCAAAGTGACCAGTCAGTAGGAAAATATTCTTGGCAATCCGTCCAGTAGTTACTGAGATTTCTCAGACTGGACTATTGCCATCCATAGGGCTATGTCGGTAGCGTAGTTTAAATAGTTCATAAAGTATTAATTCTTTCTGTAAATATACTATAAATCCAGCTGTGTTGGAACATTTGTATAGTGTTGTTTAGGATCAGAAACACAAACTTCAGGACTTTGGACAAGTTTGTCTTGACTTACTTTTTGACTTGCAAGACTTCATCCCACCTAGACATGTGTCTCTTCAGCACCTCCAATCCCACCACATGGGGCAGTTATCTCCAGCCAAGTTCCTGCTCTGTGATAAGTGGCAGTGAAGCAGCAAACACGCCGACAGGTAGAGTATCCGTCATCCTGATGGGTCAGCATGGCAGCTCCATCTCCCTGCGCCCCAGAGCTTTTTATCAATGTCTCCTTATGTTGCTGGAAGCTCTTCATAAGGAGACCTGTCATTGGAAACTTCCCTCCAATGTCCGACGTGTTTTCTAATTATGCCCAGAGGCTGTCAGGTTTCAAGCCCATTTGTTACTTTCATGAGCAATCAAAGGAATTGCTTTTTGGTTTCCCGTCATGGAAGGGAGAATTGTACCATTTTAATAGATGGAGTTTTACTTTGGATAGAAATATTGTTAGGGCTTTTGGTTTTGATGAATCTGTCTGACAAATATCGAGTCCCGCTGCAGCAGGGAGGGCTGGAGCGAAACCAGGGGAGCATAGATCACTCCAGGAGCTATCACTCTTACAGAGCAGGTGTTACAGAAAACATGCCACAGTAGGTATTATTTATTGGCATATTTACACCTTTCTAGGAGTGACAGGAAATGCCTTCATTCATAGTTAACATCTGAAAATGCATCTGAAAATGCTGCATTAGCATTTCCATTTCAAAATATTGGTCGAAGGACCAGGAACATGCTTTTGTCATCGAAGAGGAGCAACTGTACAAACTGGAAATACAAATATATGTTTTCCCAAGATAACACTTGTTGCAAGTCAGATAATGAAATTCTAAATATTGTCAGGCAGAAGGTTTGAATGTACTGATACTGACTTTACATTCATTATATATATATAAAGAGTTGCATCACAATAAAGGAAAACTTTATCTAAATACATGTATAAAAACATTTATGCAAATGCTTGGAACAATGTGTGGCTATGTTTTTCTGCAAAAAAAATATACACATAAAATATATATATATATCAAACATTTGTATCTATGTTCATACATGTTCATACATGTTTGCCCTTATTTCTTTTACCAATTTAACCACTGTGACTTTTCGTTGCTCTACTGTTGACTTCAAAGTAAGCATTTATCCAACCTCCAACCACGTACAATCTTGTCAGACCATAACCTCAACTATCCAAGTACCACTTTAACCACAAGTGAAGTTTTACGAAAATATTTTTCCTCCATTGCAGGTTTATGAAGTTGGACCCTATCTGCCATAGTTTGTCGAGCAAACCTGCGAATGGCCTCAAAGCTTTGACAAATACCTAAAGCCCTCACCAGAGGCAGAGTCGCGACTCGAGCTTCAATGATGCATCAAAACGACGTTCCAAAGCCTCTGTCCCTCAAACTGCATTATCCCAATGAAGAAGAGAATCTGAAGACAGAGAAGCTTCCTGATGCACCAGGAAAATACTTGTCCAAGTGTCATGCCCATTCTTCTCCCTTCCTTTTGACAGGAACAAAGCCCACTGTAACCAAAGAACCATGTCCAAGTGGGGTCCGTTAATCGTAATTCATCCGCGACCGCTCTGCATAATGTTAACGTGTTCGCAGCCAACCTTGATGTGGCAACGGAACATTTCAACTTGTTTCAGAAAAGAGATTTCCCAAAATGTGTAAGACAAGTAAGGCAGCTTTTTGTGTGTTGGTCCGCACGTGTCAGTTCCGAGTGTAGGATCTCTGTTGTATCATACAACAAACCACGCGTGAATGCAAGCCGAGCAACCCTGAGTGGGATGACCAGGGGTCTCGGGGGGAACACAAGCGCTTTGCCATCCCTGCAGCTCCCACCCCGCCCCACACCACCCTCCAGCTGTCCACCCAGGCATCCGCCGTGGGCAACCGCGTCATCAAGACACAAAACCTAACACCTTTATGACTCACAACACGCCAAGAGGCTCCACAAGACGCGGCTGCAAGCTCCATTGAATACCCTCTGTTGTTTTCTAATTTTTGGGCTCCTGTAGTGTTCTGTCTTATTACGTGGGCTTTTGCCCTCTTAAAACACTGATTGCTTTTGTGAATGCAAAGTAAACTTGCGTCATAGAGTGGCAACAGGTGAATAGCAACTTACAGTGTGGTGTTGCCCGCTGCCTCCTTTTCACCACTGTGGTGAACCTGTTTCTGCTTGTTTACAGCTTCCACCATCACCCTGCTAAAATATCCTGGAAGCAGAAACAGCTAGCCTGTCCAAAATACCAAAAATCCACCTATCAGCGCCTCTAAATCATACTCATTTATATGCTTTATCTCATTTGGAAACCAAAGTGTAAAAACCGCATTGTGGTTTTACAAGGAGTTATGTGCAATTCTAGTTCTTGGAAGGGAGCAATGACTTCCTAGCTGTGTCTCCTTTTTGAAGCCTTTGTGTTAATCTAAGATAATAGGCTTTATATTTAAAGCACAAAAGTGCAGTAACAGTCAGATAAGACTCAGCAAGAAAGCAAGTAAGCATATTTCCCACAATGTCAATATTCAATAAGTAGGATAGAAGAAGTGATAGTGATTCAAAGAAGTGAAGGAAAAGTGAATGAAGAGAAGTAATGGCGAGGGATTACAGATGAGGTTGATGGGATTAGGGTATTGGAGTATTAGGACAGCACAGCACAAAGATATCTGTGGTGTATTCATATCCATCATTTTACTCTGTTAATTGGAGCAAGTCATCATCTTGGCCTTGTTTCCGCCCGCCAGCTCCTAATGGGTGACTGACAACTGGCATTTATCAACTACCTTTGTTGGAAAATATCTCAAAAGCCTCATCAGGATATGGTCAGCTTGTTTTTTTCACTGGTCAGCTCAAAACAAGATCCTGAATAGCCTCTTTAGAATAAGAAATATGATCCCAGGTTTATGACTGCTTACATAAATTCACCCAAGGAGAGGGAGACACATTTTCTTCTTCCCTCCTCATTTTCTTTTCCCCTCAGAGTCACGTTTTGATAAGAAATTGATAAGAGCCAGTTTGTGAGTCCCAGATGGTACCCCCGTACCAGGGCCTATGTGGCAGTCATTCATAAATGATGCATTTTGTGTATAAAGAAAAAAATCACAGAAGCCGATAGGCCCTCCAAGTACTGTACACACACGTATGATATTAATTTATAGAAGCTGAATTACATTTTTAAAAAACTATTTATCTTTCACTGCAACAGGTGATATGTGATTAGGAGGTCTACTCTGGTCAAACCAAAA